TGGTACTAAACCCTTGGCCAATTGTGTTGGAATCTCTTGGCCTAACCCTGACTTTTTTCTGAATAGTTTATTGGCTCTTGTTTGCTATATATTTTTTGGTGCAACGGCCGGGAACTTGTGGTCTAGCATTTGTGCAGCATCACAACCCCGAGCAGCCTGTGTTCAATTCGAGAAGAGCCAATTGCCGAAACTATTGATCTATTGTTGGAACGCACTTATCTACTGTTGCAACTTTCTGAAACCACTTGCCGCTGATTGGTGACGACAATGTCAGGAAAAATCCGATGTGATTTGTTGGTCGTTCTGAGCGAGATGCAATTCCATTCTGTAGAGGCTATGCGTATAATGAAGATGGAACAAGATGCTAACACTTACCGGTTGCTAGATGTGGAAAAATCGAATTTGGTGGAAACTATTTCTAAAATAGAGAAGCTCGACCTCCAATGGAACAAACATATGTCCAAACTGCATGGGCTTAAGAAAGCGACTGAAGAAGATTTATATAGGGATTTTCCATCTAACGAACCTTCTTACGAGTTCATGCCAGACTTCCTACCCTCTCAACAGCACTTTGTTACCCAATGCGAATTTGCCCGCCAAATGGCGATGTCAATTGGACTAATTATGGAGGATCTTGGCAGGCTCCCGAAAAATGCGTCAGAGGAAAATGCAGACAGTTCTCGCCCATCTGAAATAAACAAATTACCAGATAACTGTGCAGTCAATCTCGGAAACCGGAATGGGAAAACGTTTGAGCCGCCTACGCCAAAGCTCCCGGAAAATCCGTCACCTACACCACAGCCGCCTATGGTTAAGAGGGATAGAGTGGTGGAACATAACCGTTGCCTGAAGTGCTCATTATGTGAAGGGAACCACCTCCCGAGCCTCTGTGCAAAATATAACAGCCCCAAAGCGAGGAAATATAGATTACTTGAGCAGCACCGTTGCCTTAACTGCCTGAGGGATGACCATCTAACCTTTGATTGCCGAAATAATCGACGTTGCAATAAGTGTCGCGGAAAGCACCACTTCATGGTTTGCTATTCACGTATGCCAACTACTCGAATGTTGGAACCTATGCGAAAAAGCGATGCTCATTATTCGAAGCCGATTGGGATGTTTGAAGCTAAAAAGATGCTGGAAGAAAAGACGAAAGCTCTCCAAGAAAAAGATAAAACGATAGTGAAATTGATGTCCGAACTTATGCTGGCACGCAAAAAGGCCGAGGATGAATCCAAAAAAGCTAAACGATTAAAACGTCTGCTGGATGAATCTAATCAGAGGATTGTGGATGATCATGGAAAAAGAATTCTGAAAGAGACTCGTGTCAATGCCCTTCAGAAGGCTAACCGAAAATTTATTGCCAGAAATGGTAAGCTAAAACGGGAAGTGCACGCCTACCACAAAAAATGCCAACTAGAAAAACTGGAACCACCAGATTTCTATGCCTTTTGCCGCTCATGGATAGATATGAAAATGTTTGTGCTAGTCTTAGCCGCCTTTGTCATGATTCTGGATGGCACTAAAAATGCTCTGAGGATGATTATCCGCGCAACAAATAAATTTTGGAAATGTAAAACAAAAGAAAGGATGGAACAAGAAATGACCTCGAAACATGGCCTAAATAGAGCACGCATAAAAAGATTACTTCGATCTTCGATAGCCTTAACACTGTTCACCGCCGTTGTCGCGATCAATTTATGCTGGATCTTTGTCGCCATTTTGTTCAGTACTATGGATGGTTGGGCGCATGCACTGAAAGAGCAGAAGATGTGCGATGACTGAAGTGCCGAAGATTAAGAAAAGAAAGAAAATACTTGAAAGATGGAAAAAAGAAATCGAGGATGAAACTTTAGACGCGGGCGGGAATGTCGCGAAGCGACTAAGGATGAGGAAAATAAAATAAATATATTTTTATAATTTTAATTTATTTCTAAATTAATCATCACTTATTGCAAATTCCTTTTTTCGGACTTTCACCTGGCTAAAAATCATTTTTTGCTGTAAACATCTATTCAAAACCTATTTACATTTTTTGCTCTTTTGTTCTAAAACTTAACTTAATTTTCCAATCTTTTGTATTATTCAAAACATGTGCAATTTTATTTAATCGTTCCTATTATGCCTTTAATGATCGAAATATTTTTCTGTCTACCCGCCTATTTTTCTGGCCTATATAATCTCCCCTTCCAAACCCCCATTAGCTTTCATTCTTAGCTTCTTTCTGGGTTGGCTGGCTTTCTCATTAGCTTTTTCTGTTGGCTTTATTCTGTTCTGGTTCTGTGGCTCTCGTTCCTATTTGTGGCCTTATCATTAATTTACTTGTTGGACTATTTATTTGTGTGAAATAAACAATTTTACTACTTGTTTGGTTTTAATTTGTTGGTACTAAACCCTTGGCCAATTGTGTTGGAATCTCTTGGCCTAACCCTGACTTTTTTCTGAATAGTTTATTGGCTCTTGTTTGCTATAGTGCTTACATGAAAACAGCGTTTTCCGTACTTTTTAGCGTGTTCCGTCAGCGTTTTTTCCACCAGCGTTTTCCGCAAAACGCCAGGGTTTTTATGTACACACTCAATTTTTTGATAGAAATATTAAAAATGAAATTTTTATCAAAAATTTTTATCAAACAAGATTAATAAATTTAAACCATTTTTTCTTGCCACGGAACTAATCCAATATCACTATTAAAACAATTCATTAATTTTCTCGCATCATCTTCGACTCAACTGGCCAATTTCCTGTATGATTTTGAATTTGTAGAATTGAGATAAGAGGTTCTGAACCAGATAATAAGTTCCGCCATTCACTTTTTTCTAAATTTAGATTTTCGATCGACTTCTAGAGGGGCTATTTTAAAGGAAATACGGTATATTAAGTGAATGTTAAGTAAAATTGTAAAAAAATATTTAAAAAATAAATGGACAGGCCTGTTAAAAATTTGATGAAAATAATTTAATAAAAAATAATTTATTTAAAAAGTCAAAGAAAAACAAAAAAATTGTAAAATATTTAATCTTAAATGAAATAAAAAATTCAGAAATTGACTTATGTAAATTCATTTGAAAATTGAAAAATTGATTTTGATTTCAAAATATTTTTTTTAAGAAATAAGGATTTTTAAAAGGATTTCTTAAATTATTTTTTTTTGCTACCAGCTCCTTTATTATTTTAAATTGACAATTGCGTTATCCGAATCGACCATTTCCACTTCCCTTGTTATTCCTTCTTTATCTAAATGAAATTCATATATTCCTTCATTCAGAAATGAATATATTCCGAAAACACTTTCTTGATTTTTGCCGACGTATGAGTCATCATCATATACATCCATTTGACCATCTTCAATATCATCTCTTTTCGTTTCAGACAAATAAATATATATTGACTGTCTCAAACTTTTCAAAACTTTTTTCTCCAAATCATTCAATTTGTTGAACATTTTGAAAACACATTTTTCCTCATTTTCTTTTTTAATTTTAACAAAAAATTCAAGCTGACTCCCACGAAATGCTTTTTTGACAATTACAAAATAATTGCCTGGATTTTTAAATTTTATACAAATTTCAATGTGAGAATATTCCATTATCATTTCAGGTTTTTTGGCATTTAAAGAAAATGGTTCAAATAAATTAACCTTGGTATAATTTTCTCTTTTTAAAATATTTCTAAGTCCTTCATAATTCAATAAACATATTAATCTTGTTAGTTTATAATTCTTTCTAAATGGAATTCGTACCCAAGTTCTTACACCGTTTATATCTATATATTTATAATCATAATTTCTTGCAGTATTATCATTAGACAGCTGATTTGCTTCCAAATCGATTTGTCCATTAAATATAGGTAGCAAAGTTATTAATTCCTAAAAATGAAATGAGATGATCACTTCAAAAAATAAGATTAAACGCGTCTCAAAAAACAGATCAAGTTTTGTATAAAAAGATTAAGATTTTGGCCGTGGACAAATCAGTTTCATAAAAAATCTCAATTTTCAATTTAAAAAATAAACTAATTTTAAAACATAAGGTATTCGCACCATAGAGTGTTTATCACGCACTGATGAACATATACTTAAACCATCACTGTAATTGTTTGAGATATTTTCAAGTTGTATTAATTTGTTCCCGTTTTTATTAGCATTATTAATTTTAACTATAGTTGTGGGAAATTTGTTAGTATATATGCAGTTCCATCCAGCATTAATTATAAAAAAATGATCGTTCTCGTTTTTTGGATTAACTTCCAATAAAATTTTTATTTTTCTTTCACTAATTTCTTCATTCCTTTCAATCAATTCCATTTTCAATAATTTTATTTTAAAACTTCCATCCTCATTTTTGTTATTTTCTGTGGATTCAACCAAAATTCGTTGATTAATTTTATAAAATGAAAAACAAAAAGAAAATATTAAAAATAATATTTGAAAAACAAATAAAAATTTGATTAAAAACATTGAAATACTTCTTTTGAATTAGTAAAGAGAAAATATTTTTTAATAAAAGTAATTAAATTATGTCAGATTTAAATGTCAGATTTAAAAACAAATTGCACTTTGAAAAGTGCAATAATAAGGTCTTATTAATTAAGAGTATAAATAGCCCTTATATTATATATTCATTATTAGTCTGTTAATAAATAAAAAATTAATTCATATTGAAAACAAAATTTGCATTCTTGTTCAAAAAATGTCTTATTTTAAAAATGTTTTTTTATTTTTTAGTTTTAAATTAATTTTCTATAAATCTACGGGATATATTCGGAATACTCAAAGTTTTATTTATGAAGAATATTCGTCAAGGATTAGAGAGTTAGTTTTTTTATCGTTCGACAGACATTCACAAAAAATTTTTGGAATTAGTTAACAGAAATGTTTTCAGTTTTCCAAATAATTAAAATTAAATAATAATTGAATATTTTTTAGTTTTGAATATTCTAGTGGATACATGAAATTAAAAACACTGAAAATCCACAAAAGCAATGATATAAATAAAATAAATATGGAGCTGACAATCGAGTTTAAAGATTTTGTTGAAATTCGTTTGACAAATAAAAAAGATAAGGGTAAAATAATTTTTTCTGTTGAAGATGCAAAGTTTATTAGAAGTGGGATAAAGATAATAAAGATTAATGGCAGTTTTGGTAAAAATTACAGAACGGGAATCGAAATTGCAGGAAGATGTCATGAAGAAAAATATTTTAGTGTAAATTTTTTGTGTAATTTAAAGAAGAGTCGTAATGATTGTGCGACGGGTGCAGGTTAAGTGCCAAAAAATTTAAACTTGCCCTGCCTCTGGAATAACTTCTTGAGTTATCTGTGTTTCCCGTTGTAGGGGGGGGGGGGGGGGGTCATCATCCCCTCGTGAGTGGGTGATGATGACTTGGACTTTAAAAAATGAGCTCTCAACTACCTATTTTTGAATAAGACATGGAAAAAATAATCAAAATAATCTTTAAACCCAAAGTAAGTTATTTATATGTACTTTAGTTAATTTTTTAAATCTGAAAACATTTAAAATAATGTTACAGACAATGGTAACAATCATACCTCTATTCAATTCTAAGTTAAATTTCGAGCCAATAAGCCCAATAGAGAACAATAATGGAAAAGATTTATTAAAGAAATTAAAATGGTATTTAAATTTGAAAGGGGAAGAAACAAGTTTTATAGAAATTTGTATAAAATTTAAAAATATAGGAAAATACCTAATTGCTGGATTAAGTAATAGCAATTTCGATGTTTTGTATCATTTTCACTTTATTGTTAACATTGAGAAGGAGGAGGAGGAAAAATGTGTAACAAAAAATTTTAAAAATATGTCTAAGGAGGAATTAGAAATCCTACAATATTATAAAGAAAAAATACAAATTTTAATTATTCCAAAATATTTGATTGACAAAGAAAAATATGGATTTAGTTTTTAGTTTGTTAAAATATTTAAATTTTAATTCAATTTAAAACCCCAAATTTTTCTAGACATAAAATTCTCCTAATCATCTGTATTAGGAAATAATTTTCGGACCCGGATCGGATTCCGATTTTCGGGATCATGTGTCTGGAATCGGAACTTTGATTAAAATAGGATTTTCCGGATTTTGATGTGGAAGATCTCGTTTGGATCGATGTTGTTCCCAATATAAGCGGTCATTTCAGTTACTCTGCATAATTGGTCCCCTTGTGTCGAGTTTTTTAAGAGGGCAAAAATGAAATAATTTTTTGAAAAATGAAAATGAAATAAATGTTTTTTTGTTCAAAAATTCCATTGTAAAATAAAAATGGTGAAAACTGTTATTTTTCGAAACCATCACCGAAAAATAATAATTAGAAAAAGATTTTTGATTTTGAATTAAGAAAAAGATTTTTAAATGCGCGACAAACATTTTGAAAAATTGTAAGGTGTTTAAAAAATTTTCTGAATATTTTTGATATTAAATTAAAGTTTTACGAAAAAGCACAAAATAGACAAAAAAGTAGAAAAATCTGTTGTGTATGGGCGTCAGCCCTTAAAATTGTTTAGTATAAAAGCCCAGCCAATAGTTAGTTCTCGGTCTCAGTTTTAGTTCTTCTTCATACCCCAACCTTCGCCTGCTTTGTATTTCTTTGTGCAATAAACGTTTCTGTTAGCTTCCTCTACGTAACCGGGGTCGTAACAGATTTGGCGCGGTCGCAAACCAGTTTCGTCTACTTCGATAAAGGAAAGTTCGGCAACAGCTACAAAAGAAAAGTTCGGCAACAGCTACATAAAGAAAAATGGCCCTGATTAGTAAAGTAAAAACATGGTGGGAGAACCATGAGTGTAATGTAAAGAACAGTGTTGATATTCTCCATGTGAGTATGAGTGTGAAACCTAAATGGTTAACAAAAAAAGTGTTAGTGAACGGAAACGAAGTGGAATTCATTTTGGATTCAGGGGCTCAAATCAGTTGTATAAGTGAAGTGACATGGAAGAATATTGGTAGCCCAAAGCTCACTGGAGTGCCCTGCAAGGGTAGAAGTTTCACAGGAAACGAGTTTAGTATGTTGGGCAGTTTTTTGGCGAGTGTCGAAGTAGACGATAGTAAACAAGTATTGGTGACACATGTCACAAGTGAAAAATTGAATTTGTTTGGCATACCATGGATAATTGAAGTTGAGAATAAATTGGGATATCCAATAGTGTCTAGTATTAAAAAGAGTGAAGAGCCGATTAAAGTGTTAGAAATTGAAAAGGCACAAAGTAAAATTAGTGAAATAGTAAACAAATTGTCAGTGCAGTTTAAGAAAGTGTTTGAGCCAGGCTTAGGCCATTGTACAAAAATGAAGGCTCATTTGTATATGAAGCCAGGAGTGAGTCCAGTATTTGTACGGGCTAGACCAGTACCTATTGGCGTTAAAGACGCAATTGAAAAAGAGTTAGTCAGATTGAGTGAAATTGGAGCTATTAAGCCAATTGAATTTGCTAACTGGGCAGCGCCCATTTTAGCTATTAAAAAGGCAAATGGCAAAACAAGAGTGTGTATGGATTATTCAACCGGGTTGAATAATGCAATTGAATTGGATAGGCATCCTTTGCCAAAGCCTAGTGAAATATGGGCTGAGATCCATGGAAGTAAAGTGTTTTCGCAATTGGATCTCAGAGATGCCTATTTACAAATTGAGTTAGACGAGCAATCTAAAAAAGTGGCGTGTATTAATACACACAAAGGATTGTTTGAAGTGCAAAGATTGCCGTTTGGAGTGAAATCAGCACCAGGAATATTTCAGAGATTAATGGATAAATTGATAAGTGGAATTCCTGGAGTGTTTGCATATTTAGATGATTTAATAATAGTGTCTAAAAATATTGAAGATCATAAAGTGCAATTGTTTGAAATATTTGATCGAATTGAAAAGTGGGGATTAAAAATCCAGTTAGAAAAGTGTAATTTCTTTAAAGAAAAATTGAAGTTCTTAGGCCATATTGTATCCAAAAGTGGAATTGAGCCGGACCCTGAAAAGAAAAAGAAAATTAGTGAATTGACACGTCCAAGAGATGTTAAAGAATTGAAATCTTTTATGGGTACAATTAATTATTATGGGCGGTTTGTTAGTGAAATGCATAAATATAGAGGGCCATTGGATAAATTGCTTAAAAAAGAAGTGAAGTGGGAGTGGGGCCAAGATCAGGAACAGGCCTTCCAAAGTGTTAAAAAAGTGCTAAATTCTGATCTAATGCTAACGCATTTCGATCCGGAATTAGAAATAATAGTGACAGCGGATGCATCGAATTATGGAGTGGGGGCAGTGATATCACATAAATTTCCAAATGGAAAGGAAAAAGTGATTGAGTACGCGAGTAAGTCATTGAATGATGCAGAGAAGAATTATAGTCAAATTGAAAAAGAGGGCCTAGCATTAGTGTTTGCAGTGCAAAAGTTTCATAAAATGCTATTCGGCCGAAAGTTCATATTGAGAACGGATCATAAACCGTTATTGGCCATTTTTGGCAAGAATAAAGGAATCAAAGTGTTCTCTGCATCAAGATTACAAAGATGGGCATTATTATTGACAAATTACGATTTTAAAATCGAATTTGTAAGTACCAACCATATGGGTATGGCTGACACATTGTCAAGATTGATAAGTGCAAAAAGTGAATCGGAAGATAAAGTGATTGCATTAGTTTCAAAAAGTAAAAATTGTAGTGATGAAGATTGTAGTGATGAGGACTCATTATTAGTTGAAGAGTCAATTAAATATGTATTAAACATAATGCTTGATGAAGTGCCAATAAGTGCCGAACAAGTGAAGAGTGAGACAGAAAATGATAGTGAATTAAAAATGATTAAACAATTCATTAAAAATGGGTGGCCAAAAGTATTGAGTGATCAAGCATTAAGTATGTGGTCGAACAGAAGACAAGAATTAGAAGTGATCGAAGAGTGTATAATGTGTAATGGAAAAATAGTGATCCCAAAAACTTTGAGGAAAAGTGTATTGAAAGTATTAGATGAAACACATCCGGGAAGTGCAAAAATGAAAGGAGTCGCCCGGGAGTATATGTATTGGCCAAACATTGGTAGAGATATTGAAGATTGAGTCGCAAATTGTGGAATGTGCCAATCAGCGGCAAAAAGACCAATTAAAAGTGAATTGCGACCATGGCCAATTACAAACAGAAATTGGGAAAGAGTACATATTGATTTTGCTGGGCCGTGTAAAGACGGAAAAGTGTACTTTATTGTAATTGATGCGCACTCAAAGTGGCCTGAAGTGTTTGAAAACATGACAACCTCAGCAAAAGACGTTATAAAGTGTTTTGAGTGGTTGGGAACCCATTACGGGTACCCAGAAACAATAGTGTCTGATAATGGAAGTCCATTCCGTTCAAATGAGTTTAAAGTGTATTGTCAAAATAAGGGGATTAGTCAAGTATTTAGTGCCCCATATCATCCACAATCCAATGGGCAAGTGGAAAGATTTGTGGATTATTTTAAAAGAATGATGACAAAAAATTGTAATAAGAAGAATTGGCTCAGTGAAGTGTTATTGTTTTATAGAGCCAGTCCTCATGAATCATTGGAAGGGAAATCTCCTAGTGAAGTGTTTCTTGGAAGAAAATTGCGATTGAATTTAGCGAGGTTAATACCCAAAAAAGTGACCTTCCAAGAAAATAAAAATAAAACACCTCAACAAGTGAAAATGAAAAATTGGTTTGACAAACACCATGGAGTAAAAAAACCGAAAAATCGGTAAATTAGTGTATTTCTTAAATTACCGAAAAGATGGTAAAATCAATTGGTTGAATGGTGAAGTTGAAAGTAAAAGGGGAGTTATCTATAAGATATACTCGCCAGTATTAAATGCCATTGTAACTCGGCACGAAAATCAAATTAGAAATAGAAGTTTAAGTGAAGATTGTAATAATTTGTGGAAAAGTGAAAGTGTAAGTGATAGTGGATTGAAAAAAGTTGATAAACCACATAAATATGGTTTGAGAGAAAGTAATAGACAGCCTCAAAAATTAGTGCTGACTAAGGAAAGTGTAAAAAAGTATGCTGAAGAGGCTATAGATTATCCAGTGAAATTAGTGAGACAAGTGGGAACAATCCAAAGATGAAAGATGTCGAAGATGATAATAATATGGAGATGTAGATGAGCCACATATATAAAATTTTGTGATAATATTGTTGTATTTTTTTATGTTTTTGTAATGTTGTATGTATTTTTTGTTCCCATTGTCCTTATTCCCCTAAAATTATTGTATGTATTTTTTGTTTGTTGTTTGGCTGGAAAGTGTTAGTA